TGGAGTACTAGTCAGCCCTTAAAAAGAAGAGAACCTTGTTATCTGTAACAACACGGGTGAACCTGGAGGATCTCACGTTCAGTGCAATATTCTGGTGCACGGAGAAATACTGCGTGATCTTGGGCTGACAAAGTGCTCATACCTGTGATTCCAGCACTTGGAGAGGTGGAGCCGGGTGGACTGCTTGAGCTCAGGAGTTCAAGACCAGTCTGAGCAAGACCAAGACCCCGTCTCTACTAAAATAGAAAAATTAGGTGGGTGTGGTGGTACTGCCTGTAGTACCAGCTACTCAAGAGGCTGAGGCAAGAGGATCACTTGAACCCAGGAGTTTGAGGTTGCTGTGAGCTATGATGATGTCACAGCACTTTAGCCTAGGCAATCAGGTGAGACTGTCTCAAAAAAAAAAAAAAAAACTGCATGATCTCACTTAAATATGGGATCTGTAACAGTTAAATTAAAAAAAGCAGAGTAGGAGGGAGGTTATGCAGAATACATAAATTATGGCAATCTAATGAATATATGGGCCTACAGCTGAAAATAAACACTGCCTTGGACAGTGCTTGTGGCTCAGTGAGTTGGGCGCCAACCCTATACACCAAGGGTGGCGGGTTTGAAACCAGCCCTGGTCTAACTGCAACAACAACAAAAGTAATTAAAAAATAAAAAATAGCCAGGTGTTGTGGCAGGCACCTGTAGTCCCAGCTACTTGGGAGGCTGGGGCAAGCCAAGAGCTGGAGGTTGCTGTGAGCTGTGATGCCAATGCACTCTACTGAGGGCCACAAAGCAAGACTGTCTCTAAAAATAAATAAATAAATAAATAAACAGTGTCCATACTTAAAATTTGCTAAGAGGTTGGATCTTATATTAAATATCCTGCCCCCTCATAACAGCAGCAGTAATAAACGGGTGGCAGGAAGCTCTGGGATTGGTGGTACGCTCATGACCGTGGTGTCGATGTTTCACAAGTGTGAAAAACTTACCCTCAAGTTGTGCACATTAAGTATGTGCAGCTTTTTGTTAACCATACCTCAGTAAAGTGGTTTAAAACATCTCAGTACTAGATTATCATCTATTGAATAAAATAAGAATCCATGAGCCCATAGTGACAGTAAATGGGCAGGGAAATACTTTTTAAAATTTCCAAATTCTAACTAACAGAGAAGGAATGATGGAGTTAGAAATCACTACTTCCAACTACTACAGTAACTGATTCAAGAATCAGCAGGGGTGCTAAAAAGGCGAGGTGTGAGGAGAGGCTGGTGAAGACCAGGACGTTTAGTCAAATCTACGCACACGAGCCCTGTGGTTCCAGCTTCTCGGAAGGCCAAGGCAGTCCTGCCCTCCTGCTATTCCTGCCCTGTGTAGTCCCGGAATCAGGTTCACCTCTGTGCCAAAAGTGCTACGGAGGCACCAGCGTGTGACTCCCAGGCCAGGTCCGGAAAGGCGCTGAGTGGGCACTCCCTGCCCGGGAGGCGGTGGACAGCGATGTCGTGAGATGCCCAACCAGTCCCACAGAGCCCTCCCTAGGCCCTCCCAGGGCCCATGGTCGCCTTGCCCAGTCATGAGAGGCGGCTACCTTAGAAGTGGCTCCTCCAGCCCCACCCAAGCTCTCGACGGCAGCAGGCCTGGCTGGCATGATTGTAGCTTCTTGAGAACACAGATCCAGAACAGCCCAGAAAAGCTCCTAAATATCAGCACAGAAACTAAGGCAAAAGCCTGTCATCTTAAACAATGAAATTGTGGGATGACTTGCTGTGCACCAATAGTGAAGACCCTCACAGACCTGACCCAGCAACCAAAGCATTAACTTACAAGAATGGGATAAGGATGCACTGGGGACAGGAATCACCAGGAAACACCAGGAAGACCCGAACTGAGAAATATGCGATTGCTATCTACCAATGTTAATTCCTGACTTTGATTATTATACTAGGGGGGTCTAAGTAAATGTTCATGCTCTTAGGAGACAGACACAAAAGCATTTAGGGGGTGAAGGGATTTAATAATGAAACTCCCAGGGGTTCAGAAAAATACTTGGTTCTACCAAGAGAATGAATGAATCTGACATGGCTCTTAGGATACCTGGCAAAGGTGGGAAGGGTGCTGCTACCCTCCAGCTCAGACACACAAATCCCTCCTGACCCCGGCAGTCTGTGTACTTGGAAGAGCTCAGGTAACTCCAACGCCCGCTGACACCACACCCATTGGTGAGTTCTTCACACAGAAGCTCCCGAGCCTGGCTGATGACGGGACCTCCCTCCTCCCTTTCTCTGGCTTTTCCCAGCACAGGTAGTGTGGCAGGGGGCTGAGGCTGTCACCCAACCACGCTGAAGGAAACCAAACTTACCAGTAAGGCCTAAACATTTCACTGTTTTACAAAGGAGGTAAAGGTGACTTTCATTAGTCTGTTTAGTTATTTTTGTGATAGAACAGAATATTTTAGATGTTTTAAGAATGGGTCCTAAATTATGCTTTCAAACAAAAAAAAAAAAAGACCCTCTATTTTGAAATAATTATAAACTGACAAACAAGTTACAAGAATTTACTTCTCCCATATACACTTTACCCAAATTCTCCAACAGTTAACATTTCGCCTCATTTGCTTCATTTCACTCTGCAGGGTGGTGGTGGTGAATCTCTTTATTCCTAAACCGTATGGCTAAGCAGACTTTTAAAAAACACAAAAAGGTACAGACCACCTTAGTATATCACCAAAGTTCTTCTTTCAAAATAAACATTCACTAATACTCTAAGCAAAATTCAAAAAATAAAATTTATTTATACATTAAGAAGTTTGTTCCTTATACCTGTTATTTTAAAGATGAAATCCCCTAGAAGACAGCTTTTTAGTAATTCTATACATTAGTTCTCAACCTGCATTGCAGAAAGTCTCCAATTCATATGTAACAGAAAGTAGTGATTGTCTAAGCATCAAAGGCAGGTATTATTGTAATAAATTTTAAAAACTTGATATCAACTCATAGTTGGTTTTGATCAAGATGTATTTACATACTATTCATACTAAAGTTATGACTAGTATCAAGTGATAATCCACATCTTATTATTAAAATATGCATAGATTTATGGGCAACCTGTCATATTAAAAAATATAAAGCTTAGATAATAAATTAAGTCACAACTATATTCCATGGCAAAGAATGAAAGGCAATATAAAAATGAGACTATATAGAAATTTACCTTCTGCAGAAAATTAACCCATGTGCACTCAATCCAGGTTCACTGAGCCTATTACAAGGCAGGGTGGATGGTGCCAGTGTGGTCTTCTGCCCTCTCCTCAGCAGCCACACCCACAATCAACTCTTACATCAGTTAAATGAGTGCTACTCGAGCCTGGTCCACAGACCAGCTGGGATCAGCATGCCAGTTGACCGGTTCACCCAGGGTTCTCTTCTTCACTGCGAGACTTCTGCAAGTCAAGGAAGGGAGCAGCAGCTACCTATATTCTTGTCAAGCTCTTCGCCTCACTGCGGAGGGCACTTCCAGGGTAACAATGTCAGACTTCAACCACCGCCCAGCAAACACACTGCTGTTAGGAAGCCCTGGAACAAAGGGAAGGCTTTTGCTTTACTCTGAACACCCTACCAGCTTCTTTGTCATTAAATTCAGAATCTACTAGAAGATGGAGGGCTCTAATGTGACCTTAGGTCAAATGAGCTTCTGAACCTGGGGTCAGCAGGCATGTGAAGGGCCAGTTCCCATGTGGTGTCTGCAGTCACTCTCAGCCTGTCGACTTCTCATGTCACTCGCTCGCTTCACAGCTTAACTCATCAGTTTAGGGATATGCACGACGACAGTGCTGACTTCACACGACGGTGTCCACACAAACACGACAGGGATGTGAGTCCTGAAAACGCCACACAAGGTATCTGCCCAGTAGTGATGTCACATGAGGGCTTCAGACATGCAACTGGACTCACATCTTACTTTTTTCATTAACTGAAGGTGAGATTTAAATCAAGTCTGCAGCACTTGAGAGAAAAGGAAGCACATCTCAAAGGTGGGAGAACAAACGTGGGCATCAGCAGCAGGTGCTGCTGTCAGAGGTGGCTCTACCTCCTCACTAGTGAGAAGGTGTGTCCATCTCTCTTACTAGATAAATGTTAACTCCTTGCTGGCAATAATTACGTTTTCTATTTGTTTATACTTCCAAGAACTCAGCCAGCAAGTAGCTCCCATTAAGTGTTTTATGTCTACTTGGTGACTTCAGAGTTATTTAAGAAAGTACACTTACAATTTGGAATTGGCAGGCAGAAGAAATATATAAAATACTTAAACATATATATATATATATATGCACAATGGAGGATATTATTTAATACACACACACAGATATCAAAACGTGAGATGAAAATATCCATTCAGGCCAGGTGCAGTGCGTCATAACCGTAATCCCAAAACTTTGGGAGGCCAAGGCTGGAGGATCACTTGAGGCCAGGAGTTTGAGACCAGTTTGGGCAAGAGAGAGAGAGAGAGAGATCTTATTTCTACAAAACAATACAAAAATTACCCAGGAGTGGTGGTACCCAGCCAGTATTTTTTAAAAAAGGAAAAGCATGGATCCATACTGTATCATCCATAAGATGATACTCATGTGGCTTATGTCACCTGACTTTCAAATAATTAAATTTCAAGCATCATACTTAACTGATTTTGAACATTTAACTAAGTAAAAAAGATGAAACTACATTGATTTCTTTATGATAACCGCACCCTCTAGTGGTTGACTATTAAAATAACCAGCACTGGCTTGGTGCTCGTAAATAGTGGTTATAGAGCCAGCCCCATAGACTGAAGTTGGCAGGTTCGAACTCCGCCAGGGCCAGCTAACCAACAATGACAACTGTAACAAAAAATAGCCAGGCATTGTGGCAGGTGCCTTTCGTCCCAGCTACTTGGGAGGCTGAGGCCAGAGAACTGCTTGAGTCCAAGAGTTTGAGGTTGCTGTGAGCTGGGACGCCATAGCACTCTACCGAGGGTGACCTAGTGAAACTCTGTCTCAAAAAATGAAAAAATAAAATAAAAAAACAACCAGCATCAAAGCTTACAGAACACTCCGCCCAGGGCATCTGCCTCCTTCTCTTCCACCCACAATGTACATATAATTATTTGAAGATGATTCAACATCCAAACAATATAACCTTGGATCAAAAAATTATCTCAAAATATAGCATTTTCAAGCAACAGTGGCACAGCCCCACCACACTTTATACAGAGACAACACCATAGAGCTCTGAGTTAATAAGGGCATTTTACCCTCAAAGGACCACTGTCCCCTCCTTTCCCTGCCTACATCCTCAAGGATGCTTTTCCCTGCAGAGCCTTTGTCACGACCTCAGCCCGCTCCCTCAGCATGCTGGCCTCATGGGCACTTCTGTGGGCCTGTGCATTCTTCAGCAGGAAGTGGCTGATGAAGAGCTTCAAACCTTCCCGCAGCACCCCCAGCTTTGGGTTGTCAGATACTCTGGAAAAGAATCATAAACACACATCAGGGATGAGATGTCTCCCCTACATCTCACTCCCAGGTATCCTGAATACTGCAATATTACCATTTTCTTTTGAAAACAATTCTCAATTACAACCTTCATAACATATTTTGTTATTATTAGTTTGCTATTAAGCTTATGCATAAGATATTAACTTAAACACTGGAATCATTTTTTAAGGTACACATACCAGCTTGCTTTTATAAATCAACACAGGTAGAAACTATCTCCTCACCGCTCTTGTATGTCTTATCAGAAGCAGCTGTGAACATACCTTGCAAAAATTAAACCAAGGTCTTCAACTTCTGTTTCCATTAATAGTATACTTAATACTTTTCGTAAAAAGTGGACTCTAGGTTTGTCCAATTCACTGAATTCAACTACCTAATAGTCAACATACAGAGAAAAATAAAGTTACATCAATTTAGCAAACTTTTTCAATAATTTGTAAATACAGTTAATCAGAGTAAAAATCATTCCCTCTCCACCCCTACTCCACTGCTGACTTAGAGGCTATTTCCAGTTTTAAGAAATTTGCAGCAGTGGGCCAGGACGTGGAGATGCGGGCGTTCTCACACACAGCTGGCAGGTGCTCACCACTGTTCTGTTCTTTATGAATTAGGAATCTGATTTCCAGAATTGAAACATTTATTTTCTCTATTCCTAATCAGAAACAATCTGAACATTTATCATTAAGATAACAAATATATAAATTATAGTGTCCTCTTCAGGGGGAATTCTATGCAGAACTGAGTTACAGGCTTCAACATGGATCCACTGCAAACTGCAGGTGAATTTAAAAACAACCTGTAAGGGACGCTGAGAGTCTGTTGGCAAGAGTACTGTCCACATGCAGGGTAAAAACAGTGTTGTCTCATGGTCAGGCTCAGTGGCTCATGCTTGTGACTTTGGGAGGCTGAAGTGGCTGGATTGCTTGAGCCCAAGAGTTCAAGACCAGCCTGGGCAACATAGCCAGACTCTGTCTCCTCCAAAATGTACCTTTAAAAAAAAAAAATTAGCTAGACATGGTGACGTGCACTTGTATGCAGTCCCAGCTATTTGGGAGGCTGTGGTGGGAAGATAACTTAGGCCCAGGAGTTTGAGGCTGCACTCTAGCCCAGGAGACAGAGCAAGACTCCATCTCTGCCTCCAAAAAAAAGTGCTGTTTGCAAATAAGACACGAAGGCACAGGACAAGGAGAAATGTGCGATTAAAGACCAGCTCCTCTGGGGTGGTGGGGCCCAAAGGCAGCACCAAGGACACCTTCAAGTTCTACACCTGAAAGTGAACTTCACAGTGGCTCCTGTTCACTCAGGCAGCACCACACCCCAGTCCGCACCCAGCTCAACACCTGCATGACCAGAAGGCCAGATCCAGTCCAATGAGAAGGCAACAGCGTTAGTGCAGCAGCCGCTCTGATGAACGGTTCAGGACACAGAAAAACGGGTAGGAAGCTGCAGTTACAGGCTGTATTGTAGATCAGGGTAAAAACAGCAGGGGCAAAAGCCAATGGCCCCAAATTATTTCTGCTTTTCACTCCCTGTTGACCCTCAGTTTCTCTAAAAGTTTAAGATTTTTCTGCATATTCAGACTCTGGTCATGGCATCATCCAAGACTCACTGGCTCACCTGGAGCCCCTCCCCCTCAATCTAGACTCCCCTGTCTACTCTGGGGGACCCTGCACTCCATCAGCTGTGAAGTCCTAAAACGTGGTGGCAGGGGAAGGGGCTACAGCGCCAACATCCTGTCCCCTGAACGACGCACCTGCCTCTCAACAGGCCAGGCTCAGCTTCACCCCACAGCCCTCACAATTTAGCAGTGACCAGTTCGGGACCTGTAATTAGGACCAGCACACCAACCTCAAACCCCGAAACAGATTCCATCAGTTTACAAAAGAAAAAACTGTGCCTTAATTTGCTCAGTTTATATTATGCTATGGTATATTTACACTGCATGTAAATTCCACCATTTCCTACGATTCCTATGATTATTAAAACACTTTTCAGATAATCAGAATCTAATGTTAAAAGGTACCAAATACAAGCAATTACACTATCATTTTCATTGCTTCAAATAATTTTATACATTATACAAACCTTCAAGATGGAAAGTGGAAGCGATTTTGTCTTTAATAAGTGGCCCACAAGATGAACGAAATTAGAGAAATTAGTGGCTGGCAAATTTTCTAAGTCTCGAAATTTGTCCCATATGGTGAACTGGAAAGTCATCTAATGTAATAATTAAAAAGAAGAAAAAAGTTTTAACAAATTGCTAAGTATTTATATATTCTGACATTATAGAAATAATACAGAAATATTCTAACATTATAGAAACTGGAAAGTCATCTAATGTAATAGTTAAAAAGAAGAAAAAAGTTTTAACAAATTGCTAAGTATTTATATATTCTGACACTATAACCTAAAGGCATTCCAGCTCTTGTCTTTACTATGCTAAAAATCAGACTTGCAGGGTCAACTACACTGTCCTTTCCTACAGAAGAGTTATTTGAAATAGTTTCATAGTAATTCCTTTCTGTTATAGTTTTTCCCCTTAAATCAGTAAATGCCAGTGTAAAGCTCTGAAGAAAGGTGGTCAGTAAGTTACAGCAGCAGAGACTGGTATGTCATGAGCTGATGAGGCATTCTCCACTGAGCCTGGACACACGCCCTCCACGGTGACAGGATAAGGTGACATGAGGACGAGTGAGGACTCGGGGAAGCCTTGCCACTCCCTCTAGTCCCATCTTCCTTCCCCAGGGAAGGGGGGCCCAGCAGCTGGTATGGACTGTGTGAATGGAAGTCTAGGACCTCCTGCCTGGGAGAACTCATTTTCAGGTGGGCTAAACCAGACAGAATTGTTCAGAAAACAGTGGGGGTGGGCAGTAACTACCTAGCAGTACAAGCACTGCTCGGTTGATGGGCATACTAAGTCCCAACACAAGCTTTATCAAAGGTATCCACGTAACAAACACGTTTGTATTCCCTTAATAGTATGAAATTAAAAAAAAGAACCAACCAAACACTGGAGCATGTGTAACTGGAGGTATTCTGAAACCTGAAAGTTACCTGAAACCTCCTTTCATAGCCACAAAACTTGCTAGCCAGGTATGCATAGAAGGGGTTGTAAGTTTTCTCCTGAAAGCAGCAATCCATGATAACGTGAGCTATTTCTCTCTCCTGCTGATCCTTAAGTCCAAGTCTGTAAAGAGAAACAGCAGCGATTAGGATGTCACTCAACAACCGGTTTTCACAGCCAAACTGAGAGGAGCACACTCCTGCACGGAAGAGTGTCACAAGGGAGCCAGGGAAAGAAGGCAGAGGCAGTGTGGACACCTGCCCCAGGCCCTACCGCCCCCACCTTCTCTGGGCCCCAGTTTTCCAATGGCAAAGTTGGGGACCAGACAACGTCTGTGCCTTCTCTACAGCTGTGAAGGACAATGACTGCACCTACTGAACCATGTGGGCCCTTAAAGCCAGGTTCTTGCTACGGTAATGATCTTTACTTTTTCACTGAAGTTTTAAAACTTAAGGTACAAGGTACACAGTAAAATCCATCCTTTCAGTGTGTAGTTCTGTGAGTGTGGATGAAGCTATACAGTCAGGCAACCACCACCACACCCAAAAGAGAAGAAAGTTCCAGTACCTCTAAGACCCCTGAGCAACCTGAAACAGGAGGTTCCATTACCACTAAGACCCATGAAACCCACAGCCCTCTACAGATCTGCTTTCCGGCCTCCTCGGCCTTGGTGCTGTGGGAACAGTGTCCACGCAGATAGCCGTCCGGGTCTGGCCTTCTTGCATGCTGTGGAGCACAGGCAGTTGTCCACGTTGCCAGGGATCTTGACTGCTCAATCCGTGATGCCGAATGGTAACTACCCCATCCCATGGATGCCCAAGATCGCTTACCCTCTGCCAGCTGAAGGGCTTGTGGGTTGTTTTCAGTTTTGTCAATTACAAGTATTAAAAAGGGACTGAAGAGGACGGCGCCTATGGCTCAATGGGTAGGACGCTGGCTCCATATACCGAGGGTGGCAGGTTCTAACCCAGCCCCGGGCCAAACTGCAACAGAAAAATAGCTGGGCATTCTGGCAGGCACCTGTGGTCTCAGCTACTCGGGAGGCTGAGGCAAGAGAATTGCCTAAGCCGAGAAGATGGAGGTTGCTATGAGCTGTGACACCATAGCACTCTATCAAGGGCAATAAACTGAGACTCTGTCTCTACAAAAAAAAAAAAAAAGGACTGAATACAGATCTGAACACAGCTGAAGCTGCTGCCTCTGCACTAATGCAGACACTCTGTACCAAGAGAGAAGTTATCAGCTATGTTACAAAAAATATCCTCAAGAAACAAACAAACAAAACCACCAAAGTCCAACAGAAATGATACACTACTCAAGCTGCGGCGTGCAGGCAGCTGTTTTGGCTGCATTGCATTTACATTAATCCACATGGATTAAAAATTCAGATTATAATAGCTAATGATTCTGATGAATAAAAATGAGAAGATTATAGTTTAATAAACATAGTTTGATGGGGTCAACGTTTTTTTTTTTTTTTTGGAGACAGAGCCTCAAGCTGTCCCCCTGGGTAGAGTGCCGTGACGTCACAGCTCACAGCAACCTCCAACTCCTGGGTTCAAGCGAGTCTCCTGCCTCTGCCTCCCAAGTAGCTGGAACCACAGGTGCCTGCCACAACGCCCGGCTATTTTTTTTTTTTTTCCGTTTCAGCCATCATTATTTGGTGGCCCGGGCTGGATTCAAACCTGCCACCTTAGGTGTATATGGCTAGCGCCTTAGCCACTTGAGCCACAGGCACTGAGCCAACTTTTTTTTTTTTGGCCAGGGCTGGGTTTGAACCCGCCACCTCCAGCACATGGGGCTAGCACCCTACTCCTTTGAGCCACAGGCACAGCCCCAGGGTCAACTTTTTAAAACATGAAGTCTACCATAGGAAAAAAATAAAAGGAGTCCTTCACAGAACAAAGGATGTACCAGAGACCCCGTGACTAGGGCTCCTCATATGAGGCCCTTCCAGAAACTGAGTAAAACCAGGGGACATGCAGATACACTTAACAGTAAAGTGACAGAATAGCAAAGAAGTCTTAGGATTCCCACTTCAACAAGTACCCCAGTTGGGCGGCACCTGTGGCTCAGTGGGTAGAGCACAGGACCCATATACCAAGGGTGGTGGGTTCGAATTTGGCTCTGGTCAAACTGCAACAAAAACATAGCCGGGTGTTGTGGTGGGTGCCTGTAGTCCCAGCTAGCTACTTGGGAGGCCGAGGCAGGAGGATATCCTAAGCCCAAGAGTCTGAGGTTGCTGTGAGCTATGATACCACAGTACTCTACTGAGGGCGACAAAGTGAGACTCTGTCTCCCTCCACCCCCTCAAAAAAGAATCCTAAAATGAACCACGTTTTCCCTCCATTTCATTCCAAGTTTGAAGTAAATAAAATAAGTTAACATAAAATTGTCAAGAAGTACTTTGCAAAAGCATATGGGTACGTTTACAACTAATTAAAGAAATTGTACCAGAAGTTTTAAAAACTTACTGATAAAGATATACATATTTTTAAGCAATTTATGAAAACCAGAAGCCACTGAAAACAGTTAGCTGGTTGTCTAATCCTCCCGGTCAGAACTCTCCAATTTTCACTGGTCACTAATGCCCTAATGAGGAATTCCTGGTGACCAGTCAAGGGAAGGAGAGGGACAGACAAGCGGTGACATGGGGACACAACAAGGTGAGGGTGACGGGAAAGCCCCAGCCTTCTCTTCAAGTCCCACCTGATCACCCAAAACACAAAGCAACCTTTTTCTTACAACATCTAATTAATAGGTCAAAATGCTTACTTTAGAAGCTTTTCAAAGGCATCCAAACAATCTTCACTTGTCATTATCGTACAAAATATGTTTCTCCTGATGTCGGTGTTCATCCTTTGCTTTCGGGCAAGTTCTAGGATCTTTGAGCTAACCTGAAAAAATGATTAATGCCCTCATCATAGAAATGTTTTGATAAAAGTTGTCTCCTGAGAAATAAACTATATTTTGGGTTAACCTGAATATAATTTTAAATTCTACGTGAATCTATGTTAAGTGTTAAATCTTTACTCCAGGGCCACCCTCTACAAAGGAAAAACATGGTAAGAGACAAAGCTACCGCTGGGGAGAAAACCACCCGCTCTGGGAGACTCAGCAGTGGTGCGACCTCAGTGCAAGCAACAAGAAATAAATACAGCAAGTGGTCAGTGCCAGAGCGCGACATGGGATGCTGGCTGGGACCCTGGAATGAGGAAGGACATCAGAGAGAAATGAAGGAATACATTTCGTGACTACTTCTGAGTAAGCAGCTCTCTGGGTAAGCCACAACCAGATGCTGGGTGGGGCCCGCATCTCATACCATCCCTGAAGGCTGCCTCGGCAGGTGCATACGATGACTGCTGTCAATCATCGGGGCCCCACTCCAGGCGGACCCCACGATCCACCAGCGACCCGTCTGTTCAGCATTCAAGATGTTGTCCCAGGAGACACGAAGCTGGGTCTCAGAACCTGAGCCGGAGTTGCGTACCTGTTAAAAGAGAAGACCAAACGACCTGTTTTCCAGGGGCTCATGTTCCCTACTTCCATGACACTCAGCTTCCCTGTGTGCAGCCATGAACTCGAGGTATTTTCTCTTTGAGGTCTGTCACCCTAGTTATGTTGTCTTCAGAAAGTTGTTTTGACGGGGGAGAGGCACTAAGCTGCCTTGACTCAGCAGAAGGCAAGAACATGCCCAGGAGGAGCTGAGGCTTTGCCAGGGTCAGTGACAGCTGGGCCTGAAAGACTCGCCTGGATACAGAAGTCATCAGAACCCCAGCTGTATGTCAGAAACACCCACTGTGAGCCCTACTCCCCCACACCCTGACCTCCTCGGTGCAGAAAGTGTCAGATGATCCCATCACACAGCCCAATCTTACTTTCTTAGGGGAGGGCAGGAGAAGCTAACAGGGACTTTCCTGCACACGGACCCTGGGAGAGCACCCGAGGGAAAAGCAGCTTCCTGAAGCTCTCGTTTCCCAGGCCGGCACCTGACCCACGGCCCCACTGCCTCTCGGGACAGATGAGGCAGCAGTGGCTCACCAGCGTTCTCTGCAGCTTCCGCAGCCTCTCCACAGGCTCCGGGTCGTAGCCCGGGATTTTGCGCATGTCATTGTTCTTCAGCGCCAACATCGTCTCCAGCATAAACCGAACCTTTAAGAAAGACAAAAAAAATTAGAAATCCATTATTCCAAAGAATCTAAACAACTGATCATCCAGCTTGGCAAGAAAAGTACCACACGACACCCGTGGCTGTCACTGCTGGTAACACTCTCTGGGTAAAGACATTCTTTGGTCTCTTTTTCAGGGCTATGTAATATTTTAAACTGAAGTCTGTTTCCTGACCTCAAGGTGTACCTGGACCCTACGCAGAGGTGGTGCTTCTCCCACCCCACACATCTCATCCTCTGTCTCCAGGCTCACTCCAACAGCCTCCCTCCTGTATTTTCAACCTCTCCCTCCCAGTGGCCTTTAAACTTTTAAATGAGTAGTGTCATACTTACAGAAAACTGCAAGAACAATACAAAGATTCCCATATACCCCTTCTCTGAGATTTCCCCAAATGTTAACTTTTTAATGAGCTGTAGTTCACATACCATAAAATTTACCCATTTAAAATGTACAATTAGGCTGGGAGTGGTAACTCACACCTGTGGTCCCAGCATTCTGGGAGGCTGAGGCAGGTGGATTGCTTGAGCTCAGAGACGAGCCTGAGCAAGAGTGAGACCCCCATCTCTACTGAAAAACAGAAAACCACCCAGACCACTAAGGTTCATCCCCACTCCCCCAGCTCTCTGCTCCCAGGCAACCGCTTGTCTACCTTCTGTCTCTTTTGATTTCCTGCTGCCATCCTGTCCTCCCCTCTTTACAGACACGCTTTTCTGGGAATAAACAGTACTGTCGGATTTAACCCCAGATGAACAGTCCTCGACTTCCTCGTCCTCAGCATTCCACTCCAGGTATACTCTTCCCCAGGCCCCTGTGGGCCCTGGCTCCTGGACACCTCTGCGTCTCACCTGCAGCTTCCCCATCTCCCTTTCGGCTAAGTGCTGGTACTCCACACCCTGAGATTCCCTCCCACCCTGACTTGAACCAGGCACCCACACCTTTGGTAGCTGACCTAGGAGCCCCATTCGGAGGCTGCACCTCTTCTGCACAGCCCACTGCTCACCCAAAGGCTGAACGCAGCTCTCCTGCCACCATAATCCACAGGAGGTCCAGTCAGAAGGAACCAGACCATGGCCGCACCCAGCCTGTGCCATGTGGCCGTGTTCACCACTACTGGCTCTGTGGCTCCTTCCAAGCCCCTCCCCACTGTGACCACACAGCATCTTTTCTCTGGAAAAGGAGAGGAGGCTGCTGGAGTGAGCCTGGAGACAGAGGATGAGATGCGTGAGGGTAGGAGCCCTTCAGATGCCTCGAGGACACGGTTCCCAGGCCCAGGGCCACCCTCTTCTCCTGTGACTTCCCACTGGGCTCCTCAAACTAAGTCTTTTCTTGCTTCTCAAACAGGCCACATTCTTTCTTCCCCTAAGGCAGCGGTTCTCAACCTGTGGGTTGTAACCCCTTTGGGGGTCAAACGACGCTTTCACAGGGGTCACCTAAGACCATCCTGCATATCAGATATTTATATTATGATTCATAACAGTGGCAAAATTACAGTTATGAAGTAGCAATGAAAATGATTTTGTGGTTGGGGGTCACCACAACATGAGGAACTGTATTTAGGAAGGTTGAGAACATGTGGCTCCACACATCTTGTCATCAGAATAGCAAAGAAGGTGGGAGCTAAGCTCAGTCTGTTTTACAGGTGGGGAACTCGAGGCCTGGAAGACCTGGGCTGCACTGCTGCCAAACGGCAGAGCCAGAGTGCAGGCCAGGCTCGCCCTGGAGCTCCATGTGCTACTTGGTATGCATTTCTGTCATGAATTAATGTCCAATAAATCAATTTTTAAATTCAAAAAATTAATGAGTTCTTAGCAAAAAAATAAGGTGTGCTCACATACAAAAGCCAAAACCAGAAACCCCCAGGGGGCAGAAGGTAACAGAAATATTAGGGAGTGAAGTCCAATATTTATCCCTAATACTTAGTTTTAGTTCTGGCCGGTTTGTGAGTTTTAGGCACTCAGGAAACAGGTCAAGTGGTGACACATACCCTGGTCTGGTCCTGACACTGGCCGCTGGCCCCACTGGCTTTGGTCTGGGCCTCAGTGATCAGTTCCTTAAGTGACAAGGCATCATCTCTTCTCAGTGAAAAGCCCACGTTTTTTAGCATCAGCAAGATCAGTTCAATATCCTTTTCTGTAAAAGTTCCAACAAGTTTTTTCAAAATGTCAAAGATCAGGAGAGACTGTACCACGTGGAAGTTGTATAAATGGGCAACGATGGTAAGAAGGTTGTCAGGTTCCTTCCCTTCACTGCTGCTTTTATAGACGTCATCAAAGCCCCTCACCACAGCCTCCAGGAAGTGAGCACCAACCTGCCAGAGACAACAGAAGAGGCGTCAGTTATTCTCAGGGACACACGAAACGTACCTGGACAGGGCATCCTGTCACGCAGGACCCCGGCAGCGTGGAGCACCTCCACACCGAGTGCAAACCTCTGCTGTGATGGCACTCTCCCCTTTCCTTTAAAATTCAAAAAAGTAGTATTTTTTAGCCAGTAGCCATTCTGAACTCCTCAAAAACATGAAATTGTTAAAAACGCTAAAACGTGATTTCTGGTCCCGGTGGGCCTCTGCCCGCCTGCCCTGTGCTCCATGCCCCTGGCTCGTCAGGCAGCAGCAGGTGATGCGGTTTGTAAGGGACTCAATTCAGGTGGTTAGAAGACGTACCAAAGCTGACAGTAAAGCCTTCCGGAAGACGCAGCGGGGTCTGCTACGATGGGATTCATCGGCCGTTTTATGCAATCCATCCACATCCCTGTTAGTAACATCACTGCAGTGGCAGAGTACATTTTGGGAGAGTGTTTTTCATTTTAGGGACTGGTAAACAGTAAGGGTTTGAGAAGCTCACGGAGTAAAAATTGGCCTACGTGTTTTGCTATTTTTTTCTTCCAAGATGTTTTTTATTTCTGAATTAAAATAATTTCAAAGTAAACAATGTTAAAAACACATTTGTATCTATAAAAATGTTCTACTACTGAATTCAAAAAAATGAGGCGAATTCAAGAATACTCATTTCTTGAAAGACTTTTTCCAGATTTTTACTCCAAGTTAATTTCTTACAAGGAGTAGAGGTGACATCTAAAGTAGAAAACTAGAAGACTATGTCCTGATGGCAGCAAGGCCCCATGTCCCCGAGCTGAGCCTCAGACCGACTCAGCTCAGTCAGCAGTTCTCAGACACAGGTCCTGATGGGACCAGAAGAAAACCAGCCACTGCATCTGAGGGGGGCGCGAGGGCCAGAAACTGCCAGCGGCCTGTGAGACAAAGCAAGGCCACCAGAGCGTGTTCTTTTTGCTGTTCTGTACAATCTACTCCAAATGCCAGGAGTGTGTATCACAGAATGAGGCAGACCCAGATTTAAACCCATGTGGTCTTGGGCAAGATCTGAACCCTGTTTTTTAACTCTGTAAAACTGAGGTAATGAAATGTGAAGGCAGAAACAGAAGTTTTCAATTTTGTTGGTTTTCACTATCATGTCATCCTCTTCTCTCAAATCTCACCTCAGGCTGATACTGGAAGATGGGACATGGTGGTGGCAGGGAGTGATGGCCAGAAGGACACACCTATGCTGGACTAAGGAGAAAGGGCTGCTGTAGTTGTCATTCTTGTTGTTTAGCAGGCCCTGGCCAGGTTCAAACCCACCAGCCCCAGTGTATGTGGCCAGCGCCCTAACCACCGAACTATGGGTACTGAGCCATCACCTCTACATTTCAAAATGCTGGGATTACAGATGTGAGCTACGAAACCCAGTTCAGGTTTTTTTTTTTTTTTTTGTTTGAACCCGCCACCGCCGGTATATGGGGCCCACACCCTACTCCTATGAGCCACAGGCACTGCCCCCAATTCAGGTATATTTTCAATCACACAAATTATTTAATCACATCAAAATTTAAAATTCCACTGAATGTCTTCAAAATAAAATATAATAGTATAGTATTACAAAATATAAGGATCAGGCATGATGGCCCTTTGGGAGGCCAAGGCAGGAGGATCACTAGAGGCCAAGAATTCAAGACCATACTGGGCAACATGAGCCCAGCCCTTTGAGGCTGCTGCACTCCAGCCTGGGTGACACAGTGAGGTCCTATGCCATCCCCTCCCCCTAAAAGTAAATTTCATGTCGCTAAAGCTTTATAAGCCTACATTGATTCTGATGTGGGAATTTTAACACAAATTTACAGACGTGATTTTTTTTTAAAAATCAGAATACTCTAGGATGATGATTTTTGATTTTTACATGACTTAACGCGATTCAACAGCTGATACCATGGATTTTTTCCCCTTCCATGAATTCCTAGGAGGATGTTTTTCTCAGTACAGCCTTAAATAAGTTTAATGGAACCAGCATCCTGAGAGCTCGTCACACTCTGGCACAAGTGTTAGGGGATGTCATTAGCTGAAGTACAATAACAACTTCCCCTTGGAACAAGCCATTTCATTGTCCTTCACGCTATTAGTGAAGGTTTAAAGAGAAACAGTACCAATAATCAAGTACAGTCCTGACACGCAGGGTGGCCAGGGGCTGTGGCTTTACTGTAACTCACTGAAGCAACGCCCACACTGAGCATTCTGGTGACAGAGTCTCAGCTGTACCCGTGCTCTAGCAGGACGGGACGTACTCAGAAAGATGCAGAATGCTGAATTACTGTAATCATAGGGGCCTGGGAACGCATCCAGAACTGCATTACATTTTGTAATGACAAGGAAATACTCTCATATTCATATGTGAAAATAAGGATACTTCTTAGAAATTAGTAAAAAAAAAAACAAAAAAAAAAAACCGACTACTTCAAAAGACCAATTCCCAAGTAGCTGGTGCAGATTTTCACAACAGAAATGATGTGTGTGCAGCTGAGAAGAAAGTGATGTACCTGACAGCACCACACTTCTGTGCTCAGCTTCCCAAGGTCCTTGAGACCTTAAAGTCACCTTTGAAAGTCATCTTTCAAAAACTGCCACAATGTGACCTCTGCCAGATAAAGGAAAACGTCCTTCCAAAGATTATCTAGGAATAGCGCCGAAACCTGCAATGCTTGGAAAAGTGGGAGGAAGGGCAGAATTTCAGCAGGGAGAGCTCCCTCTGTGTCACAAAGGAGTTAGTAACTAACCCCCAAGAGCTCTGCCTATGGGCCTGCCTCTTTCCACCACCTGTTACCTGTCCTGACTTGCTAACCATAACCACTCCACAGAGGAGAAGACCGGCACCAGGTCACCTACGTGACAGTGTTCTGCACCAGGGTGGTGTCTCCACCACACCACTTGGCCTTTGCCACGAACCCTCATGACAAGAAGGCTAATGTTTTGACAAGTTCGTACACTGTAAAACAAGCCCTGGACTCTCCCACTCTTTAAGACTACAAATAACTTTTAAGACTTATTGAGAGAAAATGCTGCATCAATGAAAGGCCTGTGACTAGCCCTGCAGTGGAGAGCATGCTGTCACAGGAGCTCAGCAAACAAGCCTCGTGATCCTGGGAACACCAAACTCCAGGGGCTCAGGCAGGCTTCAGTAAAGATCTGCCCGACTTATCTCACTGGGATGCTGAGAGGGTCAAATGTAACAAAGATAAGACGGGGCGTGAATGGATACCAGGGACTCACACTTCTGGGGACGCTTTGCTGCCGTGAACTATTTTGGGAAGTAGGGCTATCAGAAGGCAAAGATACCAAGAATACCAGCATCAAAAGAGACCACATCACTTAAAGATCCAAAAGGGCTAACAAATCATCTGAGGATATTGTCTGTCTAGAGAAGTAAGCCTTCTCCACCTCAGTATAAACTCCTTTAATCAGACTCATTTCCTTCAACATACGTGCATTCAGCTATGTTGAGGGAACTGGAATACTCACAGGAAAGGTATGACTTTACTGCATCAGATTAAGATACAATGGGCTAGAAAAGGGCAGTGTGGGTGGCACAGGGGACAACACGGCCACAAGGGTTGCCTCCCTGACTCAACCCCCGGAGGCCACTGAGCCAGGAGGAAGAGGAGGATAGGGTGGGAAAGAAGGTGCAAGTAAACTGCCCAATTTAATCTTGACAGAGGCCCCCAGAGGCTGCTGGAGCCCCAGCTCAGAGGAGGAAAGGAGCACAGAGGGGCCTTGCTAGCTGTGGCCCAGGCAGCTCCATGTTCAGTCCTCCACACATCTCCCAGTGAGGGAGGCAAACGCCTCACCATCTTTCAAATAACTGAAAGTTAGTGTTAAAGCAGGAATTAACCAAAAAAATCACCTACTCCATACAATTAAACACTGATTAAGTCTACTGTTAAAATAATCACTGTTTAGACACTATTAACAGCTTGGATAAAAGGTACAACTATACCTCGATGCCAACAGTGTGGTGAAGGATACTGACTAAGAGAACATGCTCCATCATCAGCCGGCTGGGCATGGCCGAGGCAGTGACGCAGGCATCCAAAAGCGTTGCAGTCAGGGTGTCGTTCATGTCCTTCCTGCTGTGGGCCATGTATAGCTCTTCCAGCTGTCCACTTATGGACGCCATGTTTGGCTCACTCAACCTGTAGAGAGCAACATTATTTAGAATTCAGAATTATTTTCCTAACACTGAGAAAAGTTTGCTCCATTTGAACAGGTGTGTGTGGGGGGCTATATACACCTGTGTACTTGTGCTAATACTCGACTTGACATTAAATGTCAGGTTATGGTAAAATCCCAGGATACTCCCTGCAAATGGCGTTTGGGCCATTTAATTAAAAAGAAATAAATAAAAAGCAACACAAAAGGGCAGAGGATGGGTGAGACCAGGAAGGGCAGTGGTGAGGGAACCGCTCCGTCTCAGTGGTGGTGGTGACACAAATCTTCATGTGATGAAACTGTGCAGAACTTCACACAGGTATACAAGTGCACATCAAAACAGTGAGGCACGAACAAACTCTGTGGGCTGTACCAAGGTCACTTCCCTGTTGTGTTTTAAACTGTACTCTAGCCAGGCAAGGCGTTTACCTTTGAGGCAAACTCTGTAAAGAGTGCACTGGACCTCCCAGTACAGTCTTTGCAACTCCCTGTGAATCTGTGATTACTTCTAAATAAAAAGCTAAACAAAAAAGCTATGCATACTGGAAATCTAGTGAAACTAGCCAAAGTGTCAGAAGCATCTGAAGATGCCCCCTTCAGAGAGGGCCTGGAGGGGTCTGTGAGGGGCTTCTGGCTGAGGTAATGGAAAACGGGGTATTAACAGATAAGATATTTCCACTTTCAAACCAGAGAACACAGGGTACAAGGTAACTGAGGAAGTCTCACTGCTAGGGCTTTGGAGTTGACTGGCATCAACCAGGACTAACAATGGCAGCACATGAGTTGTTTTCAAAACTGAAGGGGTCAAAGACTCAGTGGCTAGACGCCCTCTCCTCTTCAAGGTGTGGGTCATCAGGACAGGATCAGAAAGGATCCAATCAGCAGCTATAAACCCTATCTTAATCACTTATATTTTAATTCCTGGGATAGTCCGTATGGTTTCAGAAAACAGCCAACCTCTTTAAGCGATATAATACGACACTTTTGCAAGGTTACCTGTTAACTAGACCTTTCACATGTTTCTTTAGCCTTTCTAGTTCTTCCTTTTTCTGGGCGTCCACTGTCTCCCCAGCGCACCTCACATGAGGTGGGATGTACTTTTCGCCACTTTTACAAAGACTCTGAAAAGAAATAAATTACAAAATGTGCATACTGGCTACATCTCATATTTTCTTTTTTTTGCTACATGCACATATAAACATTACATTCTCAAGAACTGGTGGAGCCAATTATTATTGCCCATTGCTACTCAATAAACATCAGATTTGAGGCCTAGAACAGTCACAGAAGGACACTGCTCTCACAGGCCACAGACGTCACAGTTTACACGCAAGGCCACATATTTCGCCATCTAGTCTCCCCGCTGTAGTTCTCCAGACCTGGTTGTGCACCTGTAGTATGTGCCTCATAGTCTTATTTACTACACTTCTGCTAAGGCTCACTTTAGTATAGGTATGGCAGTATACAAACACCTAAATTCAATTTACCAGTTTTGGAGGGAAAAGTATCCTAAAATTAATTTCAAATGTCTTCAAAACTATTATCTAAATTTACATGATAAAAATCAAAATCAACCCACAGCTGGCCATTTCTTAGATTATCAACTAGAGGGGAGAGGAGTCAACAAATGATGTCACATAGCCAGGGCACTCAAGTGACAGTACTTAAGAAAACATTTGTAAGGCATGACCCTGACTCTTAGGAAGTTATTTATTTATTATTTTTGGAGACAAGAGTCTTGCTCTATTTCCCAGGCTAGAGTGCAATGGTGTCATCATAGCTCACGACCACTTAAACCTCCTAGGCTCAAGTGCTCCTCCTGCCTCAGCCTTCTAAGCAGCTAGGACTATAGGTATAGACCACCATGATCGGCTAATTTTTCTACTGTTTGTGCAGACAGCCTTGAACTCATGACCTTAAGCAATTCTCCTGCCTCAGCCTCCCAAAGTGCTAGGGTTACAGACGGAAGCCTAAAGGAGTTTAAACTTAGTTGAAGGAAGCATATTTATATATACAGAAGCTATTGAGACACACATTACTTCAGATTATATGTCATTACACCTTAATAGGCTGTGAAAGAAAACTTTAGAAGTCAAAAATAATATTCTAAAAGAGGAATCAACAACACTAGAGCAGTGATTTTCAACTGGTGGGCCATGAGAGGATCTCACGTGTCCCACAAAAAATTTTAAAGGTCATTAATTAAATTATTTTGAAAGATGTTCAAAGCACAGTAATTATATATATATTTTAAACAACATTAAGAGTACAGTGGAAAGTTCGAAAAACACCAACTTAGGGATTGTCCACAAAGTGCCAGGTGCTAAAGTGCCAGCAACAGACATGAAAGACAGTTCTTAGGCTTAAGATGGGGATAAGATTCCCAGGGATGCTTGATATCAAACAGTGGCCTGGTATGGTAGCAAATGCTGTAATCCTAGTGCTGTGGGAGACTGAGGTAGGAGGATGGCTTGAGGCCAGGAGTTTGAGACTAGCCTGGGCAACATAGTGAGACTCTCCTCTCTAGAAAATAATTAACCAGCTGTGGTGAAGCACAACTGTAATCCTAGCTACTCAGAGACTGTGGTAGGAGGATCTCATGAATCCAGGAGTTTGAGGTTACAGTGAGCAATTACTGCCATTGTGCTGCCCCTGTACTCCAGCCCAGGTAAAAGAGCAAGATCCTGCCTGTCTCTAAACTCAACCAACCAGAAAGCCAGGTAAACTTAAACAGTGATCGTTCAGCACCTATAGCTCAGCGGCTAGGATGCCAGCCACATACACCAGAGCTGACAGGTTCGAATCCAGCCCAGGCCTGCCAAACAACAATGACAACTACAACCAAGAAATAGCTGGGCCTTGTGGCTGGCACCTGAGGAAATAATCTATTCAGATGCAGAACCCTCAAACAGGGAGATGAGAAGAAAATGCAGATGATTCCACAGCTGCCTTCAATCTTCAGGGTGCTTGTAAAGAATGTAGAGATAAAATGGGCAAGAGATAGCCCATGACCCACGTAGGCCCTGACTGCTATTTCATAAATTCTGAACTTCATTCCTTTAATTCAGTGCCCAAGGGAGTGCTGTAAATTAGCTTGTGTTTCAGAAAGTTCACGCTAGTAGCATTTAGACAGGACCTAAAGTGAAGACAGAAGTCCTCACCCTCTAGGGACACACGAAACGTGCCCGAAAAGGGAGCAACAGCCAGGTTTGGGGACCTGGGACAGTAAATATAAAATGAAGATGTCACCTTTCGACATAAAGTACAAATGGCCCTGAAGTCCCTGGGATGAAAAAAAAAGGTCTCAACTTGTTTTTCCCTTAATTTTTTAACACGAAAATTTAAAAACATAAAATAAGGCAGAATAGAGCAACAGACCCAATTCACCCACACTCTGCTTAAACAACTGTCAATACATCAACTGTGTCACCTCTTGTCCCGCACACTGCGCTCCCATCCCCATACTCTGAAGAAAATCCCAGAGGGCCTAAAGAGTGTTCACACTATACCTGGTTTGTTATCTCACCAATCTCAGAACTTTCACTCTTCTCTTCATCTTCTGCAAAACGGACTGTTCCTTTTCTTTTTTTCTCCTGCGCTGCCCCTTCCGCTCCCTCCTCTTTTTCCTGCGATACATCTTCGTCGTCCACCTCGCTCTGAGCTCCCTCTTCTCCTGGCCCTCTCTTTTCGTTCCCTACGTCCTCCTCCTCCTCCTCACTTTCATCCTGGGAGTCACTCTCTGAATCGCTTTCGGGGAGCGTCTGTGCGGCATCCTCCTCCTCCTCGCCGCCACTGCTTTCGTACAAACCACTATTCTTCCCAGACTCCAGGGCTCCCAAAATATAGTCTAGCCCATCGCGTGCAAAGCTGAGCGGCACAGAGCTACCGTCGCCCTTCTTTTTGCGCTTGTTCAAGCCGAGGCAACGCTCCAGCTTTCGTATCTCCCGGTCCTCCTCCTCGTTGGCCGCTAGAAGCGCCCGCTTTCGGGCAGCGGCGGCGGCCGCCGCGGAGAGTCTGGTCTTCCCGGGGGTAGTTTTGGCCCCGGCGCGGGGCGCTCGCGGCTCCCGGGGAGGCCGGGGGTCCCGGCTGGGGGCTGGGCAGGCACTCTCCTCCTCCTTGTCCCCCCGGGGACCGCTCGCTCCTTCGGCTCCGGGGCAGCCTCCCGTCCTCTGCAGCCGGCGCGCTTTCCTCAGGTGCCGCTTCTCCTTTCTCAGCTCCTTGCGGCTTTTCCCCCTGCCCGGGCGGAAGCGCACCGGAGCACCGCGTCCCTCGCCCTCCGAAGTCGCCTGCACAAACTGTTCCACTGCCAGCTTGAGCCGCTTCAGGGCACCGCCCCCGCCGCCCCCTAAACCACGGTGCGGCCCACGCCCGCCTCTGCGCTTCAAGCGGACCCGGCGTGCCCCGCCGCTGGGGCCAGCAGCTCCCACGTTCCTGCACGCCGCCATCGTTGCCGACGCGCAGCCGCACGACTTCCGGCCAGGGCGGGACTTCCGGGCGCGCGCGCGGCGCTGGCGGGCGGGCGGCGCCCCCTGCTGGCCGGAGGTCCACCAAGTGGCCCCTGCGGGAAGTGAAACTTGGGGAGGAGACACAGACATGGTCTCGTGGACCACCGGACATCCTCGCGATTTCAGCGCAAGGCCTTTTCGCGACCTGCTCCAGGAGCTACGCCGGCCGGAGCTCAGTGGTTCCTATTACTAGGCAATCTGGAGTAGAAGGCGAGCGCGCGGACGCTGAGTTCGTTTCTGGTTTTTCTTGGTGCGAACCGGGCCTCCAAGCGCGTCCTGCAGGCGGGGTTTGCCGGGAGCCCCCAGATTGCAGTCATGCGTTCGTTTGGCGGGTGCTGTGCTTCCCGGCTGTTGTCTGAGACCCTGTCCACAGTTTCCAGACTTGGTTCTTTTAAACTGTTTTAATTTTTGTCAACTTGTCAGCTGGAAATTGTATCTCATTATTTAAACTTCTTTTGAGAGTGAGCATCTTTTTATATGTTCATTGGCCATTGGTATTTTCTCCTCTGTTTATGGCCTTTGACCATTTTCCTAATAGATTTTAGGAGTTCTTTGTAAATAAAAATTTTTGGATAATCCTTTTTCTCTTCTATGAACAAATATTTTCATCTCTCAAATACTTAAGGCACTTAAAAAATAGATTGTCTTCTTTTTTTTTTAGACAGAGTCTTATTTTGTCGCCCTCGGTAGAGTGCTGTGGAGTCACAGCTCACAGCAACCTCCAGCGCCTGGGCTTAAGCGATTCTCTTGCCTCAGCCTCCCGAGTAGCTGGGACTACAGGCACCCGCCACGACGCCTGACTACTTTTTTTTTGTTGCAGTTTGGCTGGGGCCGGGTTTGAACCTGCCACCCTCCGTATATGGGGCCAGCGCCTTATCCACTAGACCACAGGCTCTGCCCATCTCTGCAAATTTTTAAAAAAAATTTTTTCTTAAATCAATATTTTTTATTGCTTGCTACCCTTTGCCGGTTTTCTATGGCTTGTGGCAGCCTTTTTAGTGTTACCAAAGCTCTCTTACACGGTACAGTAATTAGCTCTTATTCATGAGCTGGGAAAGGGAAGGAGAATGAAAGCCCAGAAATGGCCTCCCCTACCTGAAGACAGGAAACTTGTTTAGCAGGCCCGGGCCGGTTCAAACCCGCCCGCCTCAGTGTTGCAAAATGTATTTTTCTCCAGTTGACTAGTTTTGTTTAATTTTATTTTTTTTTGCCAAAGAAGATTGAAAAAAATCATTTTTTCACAGTCAAAATAATCAATGTTTCAGGATTTCTAGGTTCTGTGTTAAAAGGCCTTCGGCATTCAAAGATTCTTGAAGTGTGTATTTTGTCCTTTTATAGTGTCATGTTTTAAATGTCTAATCTTTGACTTACCTACTTTTTATTTTGATGTTTAAAGTAAAATAGAATCAACCTATTTTTTCCCCAGATAGCTACCCCATGCCAATGTATTTTGTCAAAAGAATCCATCTTTTCTCTGCCAGTTCGAAAAACTATTTTTATAAAATACCCAAACTCTTCATGTATTGCAGGCTATTTCTGGGCTTTCATTCCCCCATCCTGTCTTCCTGTGCAGCACACATATTCCAGGCCTGTGCTGTGTTAGTTACTGTGGCTCCGTAATGGGTTTAATAACAGTCCTTTCCTCCTTTGCTACCTTGGTTTCTACCGTTTTTTATCGTTATTCTTGCTTTTTTAAAAAGTGAACTTTTAGAATTAACTTTTGTCTAAGGGAAATCCTATAGGTATTTTAAATTTGAGTTGTGTTTAATTTATAGATTAAACTGGGAATAAAAACTGGAATATTTACAGTGTTAAATATTCCTCTCCTGAAGAGCATGTGCCTTCCACTCATTCAAACACTCTTCCTTGTTTTCTTGTCTAGATTCTACACTTGTGTTGAATTCACTCTTCAGTATTTTCTCGCTGTTTTTGTCAGTGGGATCATTTTATCTTCTAACAGCTGTTGCTTCTACACGTGAAGCTGTGACTTCAGCTAAAAATCTGGCTTCTAGTACCAGATACAGAACTGGGAAAAAGTTACGATTCCTGCCCAAATCGCCTCCTTTACAATTTTTATACTTACCATTATTTTTTCTTGCCTAAGTATATTGGCTAACTTCTCTAGAACTGTCTTGTCAAGAAGGACCAGGATGTCCCTTGGCACCCATAGCTCAGTGGTTAGGGCACCAGCCTCATACACTGAGAAAGGCAGGTTCAAACCAGCCAGGACCTGCTAAACAACAAGGACAACTGCAACAAAAAAATAGCTGAGTGTTGTGGCAGGCGCCTGTAGTCCCAGCTACTTGGGAGGCTGAGGCAAGAGAATGGCTTAAGCCCAAGGGTTTGAGGTTGCTGTGATCTGTGATGCCACGGCATTCTACCTAGGGCAACATAGTGAGACTCTAACTCAAAAAAAAGAGAACAGGATGGAGGGACTATGGATGGGGCAGGGGTGGGGGGAGGGCCTATACTGTAGAAGTGGGGTATGGGGGCCCTGGCTTGGGAGAAGCCTCCCTGTCCACCCAGGAGGAAGTGGCACAGCCCAGGGCCATGGCGCAGGGAAGAGGGTGAGAATTTGCAACCTCCTGGCTGCAGTGGAGGATGGTTAATGGGCAGAGAGAGCCGCAGCTGAGCAGGTCACCTGTGCTTCCTGTTGCTAGACTGAGGAGGCCCCCCCTCACAGCATCATTTCTGTAGTCCACACTGCAGTGGCCTGTTAGCCGGATCCTCCTCTCTCAGGGAGGGGCTCTAAGGCTCGGAGGGACTGGCAGCTGCCTGCAGGGTGGTGTGCTGAAGGAGGGCTCAAGGCCTGCAGTGGGTCCTTCCTGTTCTGCGCCATGAGCCTCTCCAGAGCTGGGGATGTCTGGGTCAGGGGAGGGACCCAAGGAAAGAAAAGGGTTTGTTGGAGTGACCAGTGGGAATGAGGGCTTTTCCTGCTCCCTGGGAGCTCTGGCAAGGGCTTCAGGTGACAAACACCCCCATGTTTGTGCAGGAGCTGGACATACCTGAAGGACCTGCTAAAGAGAGGCTGGGAGGCCCTGAGACCCCTCTCTAGCACCTGTCCCCTGAAGAGAGGGCAGAAGGTGGGGGGGGGGCATGGCTTTAAGCCCACTGTGTTCCGTCTGATTCCGGTCCGGGTGGGGCATCAAGAGAGTGGGGACCCTGCCGGGGGTGACACTACTCCCTGCCCACCCTCATCATGTGGGAAGAGCACAGGAGAAACAGGGGCCCTCCTCTGAGCAGATCTGTGAACTGGAGTTACGTGTGAACTGGTGGAAAGGTAAAATTTTGACATAAATCTAGCTGCACTTGTAGAAAACTCTGCAAATGGGGTTCTGATGCTCAAAAGTGACTGGAAAGGCTATGAGATGTACCTGGGGTGTTGCCCAGAAGTGGGAAGGAAGATTGGCACAGGAGGTTCGAGAGTGAAATAAATGTGCTACCCACCATTACATTGGCACCTCAAGGACACATTAACACCTTTCAGAATTCCAGGTTTCTGGCTGAACATGTTCTGGCATCTTCTGTTCAGCTTTGGACCTCCAAGCCCCTGTAGCCGGCATCTTCTCATGGAAAATGTTCTGATCTCCTGGGTTGAGAGCCTGCTTTTTGTCACATGTCTGCATCTGCAGACCCTGCAGGCCACGACCTCTGTCCTCAGTCACTCCTCACCTCTCTCCCACAGGTTATTCCACTCAGGGAAGAGGTGGTGGGGACCTGGCCCTGACTAAGGGGCTGGGCTAGGGAGGCAGGAGACCTACCATCTGGCAAACACACAACAGTCCAGCGGCCACTGGGGGCTGATTTGTGCATGTAAGATGCAGCTGTGAGTCAGGCAGGGGTGGGATGTTCTGCTTTCACTCTGGGAGGGTGGGAAGCCCCTGAGGAGCTCTGGATGGGGGCGGGGGAGGATGAGGCAAGAGAGAGCACAGCAATGGATCTGCATTTTGAAAAATCACCTGTTGCTTGCAGGACTGTTGGGGCTCACGGTGGATGTGGGTGGACAGAAGGTTGTTGCAGTGAACACTTGTCCTCAGTCTGGAAAAAAACTGCTCGCTGCTTGGGACGGCTCTTTAAAAATAATAGCCCAAATGCCCTATTAAGAGTAATAGTATATATAGTTTAAAATGTAACTTTTAACCTGGGCTCACAAACTTTTTTTGTTTCAATATATTAATGTATTGATTGATTACTTTAAAATATGGTGTTTTTCTCTGATGCAAAAATAATTCATTGTCACTCTGAAGATTGAAATGTTACAGTGATATGTATAAGATATAGGTGGGAAGTCCACCATCAGCTCTTCTTCCAGAAATACACACCTTTCCAGATGTTGACTGCATGTGTGAATGTGCATTGTGATCAGGATGCAGAGGTTTTAATTTTCTCCTTTGCTCGGAGCTGTCTGGGAGCCCAGGTCACAGCCCCTAGCAGCAGCTCAGGAGCCTCCAGGTCCCTTCCTGACCTGCACAGCTCAGGTACCACAGGTCGGCAATCTCCCTGAGCCCTGAGTGACTCCTGGCCTCGTGGAAATAGTCTCTGCAACCCATCTACTAATGGGAGTACTTGTTTCCTTTTGAAAATATACACATTGGGGGCAGTGGCTTATGCCCGTAAAATCCTAGCCCTCTGGGAGGCCGGGGCTTGTGGATTGCTTGAGCTTAGGAGTTCCAGACTATCCTGAGCAAGAAGACAACTCTGTCCATTAAAAAAAAAAGCTGGGCATTGTGGCAGGCATCTGTAGTCTCAGCTACTTGGGAGGCTGAGGCAAGAGGATCACTTAAGCCCAAGAGTTTGAGGTTGCTGCGAACTATTATGCCATGGCACTGTACCTAGGGCAACATAGTGAGACTCTGTCTCAAAAACAAACAAAAAATATACACATTAAAAATGCTACAGGAGACAACCCTGTATGTGTGTCTTTGCAGGGTTGTGTAGAC